GAAAATGAAGTCATCTATATGTAACAATCTCCTGGCTATGCAAATCTCCAGCATCCTTACAAGGTTTGTCATCTTCTCAGATGCTATATGGATTGAAGCAAGAAGACTGACATTAGTATTAAGTTTTAGCTGATATACTCATTAAGAAATTGGATTTCATCCAATGTGATGTTGATCAAGCCATCTTCTTTTGTTGAGAAAATAACAAAATCATATCTATTGCTGTTGTTTATATTAATGACTGTACTCTTGCAGCTTTTTCACTTCAGCTTATTATAAAATTCAAGTCTCAAATTCAAAAGTACATACAAATCATGCATCTTAGCAAGCTGCATTAGGTTTTAGGCTTTGAGATTTAATATCATAGGAAACATCATTTTATTCATCTCTTACAATAAACCTATACTGAAACCATTATCTGAGGATATCATTTTGAAGATTTAAAACTGTTATCCATCTCTATAAACACTCAAGCTCAGCTTTCTTTATCTCAATCTTCTTCTACATCAGAATGGTATGCCAAAATATATGATATTCCATTTGCTGAAGCTGTTGATATATGACCCAATATTGCATTTGCCATTGCCACTTCATCTTATTATATGGAAAATCCTGATTTGGCAGACTGAAAAGCTGTTAAATGAGTATTTAGTTACCTAAAAAGAACAACAGACCTATAGTTAATATATGGTGACAAAAATGCACCAATTTGAGCTATGCAGATGCAGATGGCAGCATGGCAGAAGATTGCTATGCTATGTCAGGATATGCTTTTCTAGCCACTAAAAGTGCCATATTCTAGAGCTTCAAATGACAGGAAATCATTTTATTATCTACTGCTGAAAGTGAATATGTTACACTCACATATGCATCAAAAGAAGCTCTTTGGCTTTGCTCTCTTATTGGTCAACTATTCTCAAATTTCATTAAATTCATTCCATTGCTGTCTAACAATCAATCAGCTATTTCACTCATGAAAGACCAACAATACCATCTACATACAAAACATATCAATCTTCATTTTCACTTTATACATTAGATTATCAAAGAAGACAAGATGCATTTGGTCTATTGCCCAACAACCAATATGGTTGCTGATGTTCTTATGAAGCTATTATCTTTTCTAAAGGTAAAGTATTTTGCTATTGAATTCAGCCTACAATACCACATTTGAGGGGGAGTGTGAGAGTTGTCAGACAATGTATAGGCAAGCATGTTGTTGTGACATATGTGATGTTCCTATACAGGTATCATTTTTCATTGACCTTCTTTGTATTTGTATCTATTGTAAATATCTTACCTATATGTCATTTATATATTCATAACCTATCAGTCACTCTCCTCATCTGTTAACTGTGACAGTTAGGATGAGCATTATAATGATTAATGCTGTACTTATAACTTACAATGTTTTATAGTATACTAATGTTATACTATTAGTATCAATCCTCTTCATACTTGAATCATTACACAGTCTAAAACATGGCATAATATATATAGCCAAGCATTCCTTCAGTCATGTTTAGTATCAGCTTACCTTCAGCATCACTATTGCTTCCAGATGTTACAATACCATCTGGCTCACTATTTTCTAGACCTCTGCCAGAGTTAACACTATCACTGCCTTCCACATTAGGCAGATATGAATATAGAACCCATGGTGATGGATTGTATGACTCTAATCCAGGCTATAGTCATAGAATCCATCACCATGAGATTCAAAATCAAAATCACCCACTTTAGAACTATCAGAGTCTATAGTCTCACAGAGGTGCAGATCAGAGAGATGACATCCCAGAGAAAGAAGCTCACATGGCTGTAATGCCAGATGAAACTACTATCAATGGCATAGCATTCTCATGCCAATCATCTGAGTATCTGACAATAGAGAAAGGACTCAAGTTTGCATTTCAGAGTATGCTAGAGACAGCAAACAAGGCATCAATACATAATGATGAGCCCAAGACATTCCATAAGACAATGAAATGTAATCCAGAAGAGGCTTCAAGGTGGTATGAGACAGTGATGCAGGAAATACAAGGTTTAATTGAGAATAGAGCATTTGAACTTGTACTATGCTCCTCAAATTGAAAACCAGTGGACAGCCATTGGATCTTCAAAGTTAAATGCAATACTGATAGGTCAATTGAACATTATAAAGCTAGACTCATTGCAATGGGATACTCATAACACTCTGGCTTTGACAACACTGAGATCTCTCTCACACCAAAATAGGCTGCTTTGTGAACTGTTTTAGCCCTTAATGCTCTTGAAGACTTAGAACTATACAGTGTCTTCATCTCATTTCCATTCTTAAACAGAGACCTGAAGGAAGAGATGTACATAGAGAAGCCAGTGTTCTGACATGATTTAGCAAAAATCCGGATACTATCCATTTGGAAGCCTTAAAATGGCTGTTGTGCTATGTTAAATGGATGCTTAACTACTGCTAACTCCACTATTTTTATTATGACTTGTCTTTACCTTGTTCTGTACTTGTATAACTTAAACTTGACTCAGAATATTGTACCTATAATTCATCCTATTCATTTCTCTTATCCTCCAATCATCTGTACTGTATTATAGCTCTGAAATATTCTGTACATTAATATAAAAGATGTAGGGACAACAATACACTTAGAATTCTCTCATTGCTATTCTCTCTGAACCAGCATCAGGCCTAAGTGATTAGGACAATACCTCATGAAGGTCAGCTCTTTAGTTCTTGACCTTTGTCTTCAGTGACATGCCCTCAATGTGTTTATGCATATAATTTGTGATTTCTAAGAATACAGTGACTGTATTCATGTCTACCAGGTGCACAATAGAAAATATGGCTAGTGCAATAAAACAAGGCATATTATGATATCTGACTTGAGTGATGACTTGTGAGGTGCATAGCCCAGGAGCAGAATGATACTGAAGAAATTATACTGTGCATGAGGTCCCAGCATCTGGCACCAGATGTACTAATACAAGTATAGAGAGACATACTAAAAATAAAAAGAACATGATCAAAATATAATCAGGATCTCACACAGGACTTCCTGTCACATTGATCTATAATGCATAAACATTGATATGCCAGGAGATATGCTCTAGACTAGAGGACTGATGTACAATGAGATAAATCCAAATATTTAGACAGTTGGCTGAGAAATGAGAAGATTATGTGAAAGTAATGATCAGAGAAATAAACCTGGAGGTCTGGAATATATACCACACATGGTCTAATGGTGCTGAGGAGATAAAAAAGCAAAGAGACCTGTGGTTAAGCTGGACAGTCAAGCTAACCAATGTCAGATTGCATGGAAACAGCAGGCCCAGCTCTGAGTCACAGGAGAATATGCATGTCAAACAGCAGCATGTGCAGGAATAACTCCTATGAGACTCCAGAATAGAGTCCCATGCATTGAAACTACTATATTAGATTTGTCTTAGTAAGTGCTGTAGTAGCCTATTTAAATACCACATTGTAAAAGTAGTACACAAGTTTCTGACCCTCACTGTTGCAGTGTAAATGTACAAAGACCTTGTGCTCTAGCTACTGGGATTAGTTTGTAACTTCAGGCAAGAGAATAGACCATTATTCAGACCATTAAGAGTGATTTGAGAATCATGCAAGGCAACAAAAGCTCCCATGACACTCTAGCTTAATTGAATGGATGGTTTTTGAATTGCACTCTAGTCTGAGAATAAGAGGACAGCATCTGGAGGGCGCTATCTTGAGTTTTTGAGACATTTGTGACATAAGACACTACAGGTGGCAGAGATTCAAACCCTTTGGCTTGATTGGTGCTTGCTTTTTGCTTTTTGGTTATTTTCACAGATTAGCAGAGGTTTGAGCCCTTTGACAGTAGACAGAATTGTGAAAGGTTTCTGCTTAGAGTGCAAAGCTTTAAATCATATATTGTTTGTGTTAGGATTTTTGAGTTTGGTCTGAGCAGTGCTTGGGACTTTTTGAGAGTTTTGTAGGAGTGTTTCAAAGTATTGTGTTGAGATACAGTACCCTTGCCTTGAGGCCTGGCAACATTCATCACTCCACTTGTTAAACAAAAGCTTTGAGACTTAGAGAGATTTCAGATATATATATGCATAATATTACTATTCACATGCAGTGGATCATTGAAGATATGATTGTATTGCCATTTACTACTCTTATTGCATTATAATCCCCCAATGAACTAAGAGTGTTGTGTGTGTGTGGGTGGGTGTGGGTGTGATCAGTGTATATCTCTGCACTGTGTCAGTTTCTAGCTTGTGCATGCAACCATCTCTTCACCAGTCCTGGCATTCACCACTGTGCTAAATAACTGCTCACAACAGAATGTGTCTAGAGGGAGGAAGGTTATGTTTTTCCTTTCTCATGGTGTGTGTCCTGCAGACATCTTGGTGGAATATTTGGTGCCTTATGTACACCTCTTCTTTCACAACCTCATCTGCCTTTACTGACCTCTTCACCAGCTGAAAGGTGGGGACTTGGTATTGTACAATGCCCTCAGGCTATACAAGCTCACTCCCTAGCTCCATTGGACTGCTGGAGGATATATCTGGCCAACTGACCATCTCATTGAATCACCCAGTGAAGATATCTCCAGCCCTGGTCTTGATATTGTGTGGAGAGGCACACCTGCTCTGTGTAGTGCTTTCAGTACCTATGGAGACCCTGAGCTTCACGGGGAGGTGGACAATTTGCAGCAGCAAATAGCAAGCAGTGGTGCTATTCCTCTTCTGGAGGCTGAGATTACCATTTTGACGGATCGGAATGCCCAGGCCGTTGGCAAGAAGCGTGTTCCGTTCGTGTCGAATGGTCAGCTGGATAAGCCAGTGGTCAATGCATTGATAGTCGTTTATGTCCCTTGATTTGTTTCTTTCGCTTATGATGTTGAATTGCCATTACTTCGTTACTATGTTGGTCTGAACTGTGGTCGCGTGCGGGGACTGTGCCGCTAGTATATAGTATTACTTAGCGAGTTGAGAGCGATCTAGTGGTAAATAGATTATACATCTGGAGATGCTACCTCCCTTCGCTCCGTAGAAGCCTTCTCACTACTTGGCGCGACGTCATGCACCACACCCTCCGCTTTCACCTCCCGCTTCCGCTCCCTCAGTCGCTCGCTCTCCTTGATCCCAAAGCTATGCTTAAACACCATCATGACTTCCTCCAAGCTAAGACCCGCCGTCTCAGGGTAGCAGAAGATGACAAACAGCCAGCCCAAAAGACACAATCCAGCGTAGAAACCAAATGCACCGGCAGGCGTGATCTTCGCCATGAGTGAGAGATAGGTAGAGTTGATGAGCATGTTGGCAGCCCAGTTTGTCGCAGTAGCGAGGGACGTGCCTACTCCACGGACTGGAAGTGTAATTTGTTAGTCCCATTGTCAAAAAAGCGAGTAAAAGGGTCGTACTCTCGAGCGCGAATAGCTCTCCTTGCTGCCATGGAACATTACCGAGACCAGTAGCGTATGATGCGACGAATATAATCATAGATAATAACACGATGACGGACCATGAAGTGGGGTATTTGGTGCCATCAACGAGCTGGCCACCAGTGTGAATCGTCAGATCTGCGAGGTGGAAGGAATGAGAAGAGCACAGCGGAAGGGAAAGTATACCACTAACAGTAGAAAGATATGCTCACCAACGTCAACCCAAAGATCATCCCAGGCGAAGTAATGAGCATTATCCGCCGTCGTCCGATCCTGTCGATGCAGGCGAGGGCGACGATAGTGAAGATGAAGTTAGTGCCGGAGATGATCAAGCTAACTGCAGTCGGCTGGTTAAACCCGATGGATGCAAAAAGTGTAGCTGAGTAATACATCAGTGTATTAAAACCACAGAGCTGCTGGAACGCTTGCAATCCACACCCGACGACTAGAACGCGGAAGTTAGTACAACATGCTACTTGACTAACTAGGCTTACTGAGTGCTCTGCGATAAACTGGATTCATTAGCATAGACGTGAAACGTTGCATAAAGGTCGTATTGTTCGTAATCTCTACACTTCGCTTCACGGATGCTTGTAGAACTTTAACCTGATAGATGACGATGCATCAGACACGAGGACTTCACATGACGAGTATACACACTTTTAGCTCCACATCAGATGGCTTGGCGAGGGCATAGATCTTGGTCATGATCTTCCGGGCGGCGGCAACGTCGCCTCTCAACAACATAATGCGGGCTGATGGTCATGAGTGTCAGCGAAGTGATAAGCAAGCCCCGCAAGTCGGATACACGTACGACTTTCCGGAAGGAACGGCAAAAACACTAATTGAAGAGCGGCTGGAACGGATCCCAAGCCAACCATCCAGCGCCATCCGCCGTGCATATTCTCGAAGCCTGCTCCAATGCCGTATGCAATGACCTGTCCAAACGTTGCAGCGGCTGCATTCATGACAACCATACGGCCCCGGAGACGCGTTGGAGAGAGCTCCTGGATGTATAGTGGCGCGATACACGAGGCCAATCCGACACCAATACCAACAAGGAATCGTCCACCAATCTACAGAGGGTCTCATGAATGGACCGCAGCAATTATATGGAGAAACACGGACCATGCTCCAGACAGTGTGACAGACTGCTTGCGCGATTGCTCCCCCAAGGAATATGATATCAGATATGGCCAGCACGAGTCGTCGGCCCGTCCAATCAGACATGGCGCCTGCTACCAAACCACCGAGAAGGGCGCCTAGGGTCGTAGCAGACGTGATAAATTCCTAGCACCAGGACAGCACAGTATCAGATAGATTCAGGCCCAGTGGACCGAAATACGTCGCAACGCACCTTCTGGCCGCTGGACAATGCGTCTGGTCCCAAATCAGAGCCTACGGTAACTAATGCCCCCGATATTACACCAGTATCGTACCCTTCGATGCAGATGTTCAGTGAAAATGGCCATGGGTAAAAGTGGACTAGCATACCGAAAAGTAGTCCAGATATCGTAGTACACAGTACTAAAGTCCAGACGAACCAAGTCGTCTTCTCCTCTCCTTCGGCTACAACGGCAAGTTCATTTATTTCTCCAGAGTCCAAGTCGTTTGCCACTTCGAAAAACTCGTTAGTCTGGTCGTTCTTGTCTTCACTGTTAATAAAAGTAGGCGTGTTCTGGACGTGTACGGTAGCCATGATACTATCGGGTTGTGGAAGAAAGATGGGTTGTTCAGAAACCTGTTTAAATGTTGGTCGAGAAAGGAATCATAGGTCCGCTCCTATCCCCAATGGTCATTAGCAGAAGAGATGCCTCCAAAAAATAAATCCAGCTAATTTCAGCATTGGGGTCACGATCGATCGACGGTTCGGACCGGGAATACTTTTTCCATTTGTTATTCTCGGTAGCTTCTAGTGATTGTCTATTAGGGTGGGAAGATATAACTAATCGTGGAATATATGGTAGCATAAACGATGCAAAAATCACTACTAAGAGGAATGCTAAGTTTCAAAATATTTGGCGGATTTTGAGCCCCGCCTTCGACCCCCACCGGCTCCACGTAGTTTGCGGTGTATCAAACCCCTTACCACCCGTAGAATGTCATGGAAATCCGCCGAAGCGCACTCGACAATAATAATTCATATCAAGGGCTGTCCAGAGAAGGTCGTCGAACATTCCACAGTCCGTGCCCTGTCCAGATAAACACTCTGGAGCCTCCGATCCGCGCGTTGTGGTCAGCGTCAGTCCAATACACTAGACTCACGACATGGTAAACGTCTGACAGCTTTGGATTCTGTAGATATAAAAGAGGGCGACGACGGTGAAAAGGAAGGTGTTACCAAAGACAATCAGGCTGATGACAGCTGACTAGCTGAATATGCTATATGCGAACAAGGCAGGTGCTTGTGCGGTTGATCCTCCAATGAATATGATATCGGAGATGCCGGACACTGGCTTTCTCCCCGTCCAGTCGGACGTGGCGTCTGTAGGTAAACCACCTAAAAGCGCCTACAGCGTCATGCAAACGAAAAGAATTCCTTAGAGGCAGAAAGAGTTCTTCGGATTGAAGACTGCTATAAACGTTGCACGCTTCTCACAGCACTTTCTGAACATTGGACAATCGTTCAGGCCCCAAATCTAAACGAATAGTCGCTAATGTGCCAGATTTTTCACTAGCATCAGAACCCGAATGGTCGATGTTCAGTTGAAAGTGAACATTAAATAACACAGCAAGAGCATACCAAGAGCAGTCCGGAAACCATGGCGCACATTACATGCATCAAGACGAACAGTGTCGACTTCTCCTCACTTTCAGTAATAGTGTCGGATTCTCCAGTAACCAAGGCGTTGGCCACAACAAGTGTTTCAGTAGTCTGCCCTTGTCTGTAGTCAGGAGAAAAGTCCTGGTCGTGTAGGGAAGCCGTGATGATATCAAGGAAGATAAGATACAGTCAACGATCGGTCTCACCGCGCTGGATGAGTATAGAACGCCATTGAAAATCGGCCTGAGTGCATAACAGTCTGTCCGCAGACCGTCATTAAAAAATTACGCCACCATACGTTATGCATTATAGTCAAACTTGCCCAAAAGACAAAGCAACGGACGACTCATGACCATAATTATTCCGCTTATATCTTTGTGGCAGTCCAAAACGCGGCATGATATATGTAGCCAAGCATTCCTTCAGAGTTATTCGTGTACGTCGTGTCCACGGTGCTCTCGTTCTGCTCGAAATCTGAGTAAACGCGAATAAATGATAGCACAAGCTGCTTAACCCTGAGTTCAAATCCGATAGTACGGGCCAACGCTTTGACCTCTTCTAGGTCAAGCTCGACTGACGGGTCATTAGTGTTGTTGTTCTCGAAATGCCACAACAGCGGTCCTGAGAATGGTGTCAGAGTATTGCAAGTCGCCACGAGTTACTCCGCACCAAGGTTTATCCACACGCCTCCTGGAGCTAGAATACGATGGATGATACGCAAATAGTTTACTATATTTTTGGCCTAGAACATGTGAGCGATCTGGTTCGACAATAGAAACACGTGACCATTTTAAGGTGGGCGGACAGAATGCATCGGAACTGTGGTCGACGGACAGAATTTTGATCTTTCGATCTCCAGCGGTCAATCGGTGTTACCATGTCAGGCAAGCCCGAGAAATGTGCTATTGGATCCAGAACAATTTCGAGGCATTCCGATTGGTGTACAACAATTGCCAGCATCGCATACTGAAGTCAGAAGAACGTACCGTATCAATAAAGAAACATGTCAAGATCGCGTTCCATTGTCCCGAATGTGGCTCTTCACCTCCATCGTCCTCACTGCCGTATATTTCTTCAAAGTCCCCTGCGACGAGCGAGAAGTCAGAACCCGGCGGAAGGTCGGATGGGAGCACGTCAGGTATCGATATAGCGCGCAAAATCGTTGATCGGGAGTAGATGTTAGAGAAGGAGTGCACGTATGGATATATGGTGTACTTTTTGATCTCATCCGTCCTGGGTTATAGTTGGAGCAGGCTCGTTTTCTAAGCGGGAAGCATACCTGTTGAGAATAAAGAATGACGCCAGGAGCATGTAGTGAGAGAATTCATTGCCCTGACATGCGAAGCCTAGGAACGGCTGAGCTGAGTGCTAAAAGGTATAGAAAGAAATCCACGGACCTAACTTGGCAACATCATAGGCAAGTCGGCCCAACCCCGCGCCAGGAATAAGAACCCGCAGCTTCTTCCTGATGAAATGATAAGTATGTAACTTCCACCGATGCACGGCTCGTAAGCTTGTAGTAAAACAAAGATTCTGAAATGATTCCTTCAATGGCAGCATCGTCTTTAAGTTTTTAAGTATTTGCGAGGAGACTCAAGGTTATCGGGGAGAAGCGTCTCCTTCCATTCTCTTGCTGCATTTCCGTGCTTACGAGAAGCCTTGATAGCCTATATAGACCGCTCACCTTTCTTCGTCCGAGGAGCTGGCGTAATGGTTTAGCAACGCGTCTTTCATGGGACCATAGCACGCCTCTCGTTCTTCCTTGCCCTGTGATACAAATGATAAATCAACAGAAGCGCCGCAGAGCGAGCCGCAAATGTTACCTCTTCGCTCCAATCGCGCACAAACTGCTTAAGGGTGCTCCTTAGCTTATCCATATCGAAATCCGACGGCTTATATGACTGCGGACTAGAATGGAAGCCGCTATGGGAACCATGTGAGTGCGAGTGCGAGTGCGAATGTACATGTTCTGCACGTTTATGTTCGTAAATGCGCGTCGACGGCCCGGATTGAACCAAACGGACCTGTGTCGTGTGAATGTGAATGACCTACTGGTTCCGGAGACGTTACAGCACTGTCTTCATCATCCACATCGTGCCCGAATATCTCTGGATTGGCGACGATTAGGTTGAGGAACGCGGCATTTGCTAAAATGGCATCGTCGACAAGGTTTAATTTTTCTTTGTACCCCAATGAAGCGAGAAGATCCTGATCAGCCTTTGGAAGAGTAAAAAGGTCCCTTCTACGTCTGTTATTTGCTGTTAGCTGAAGTGATGATTACTATTGACAAGTCTGCGTTATGTATTAGGCGTACACACCGAATATTGAGTATACTTCCGAAATGTCGCTATGACATTGGAAAAATGACGTCTTTCTATTCGCGAAATGCGGTGAATATACATATTACGAAGAACATGGGCATACCTTCTTCGACGTCTGAAATATTTGGAGTCATCTGTGTGGTGGGAGAGAAAGCTATATTAGGCGATGTTTCGTTTGAAATATATATCTATAGGAAATATGTGTTTGCCGAGTATTGCCGATATTTTGAACTATTATCTGTGACGGTAACGTGTGACGTATTGAATTCACGCACTTGATCAGTGCCATCATCCAGGAAAAATGGTACGTGCTGTATTTCTGTTCCTCGCAAAGAATGCTGACGGAGTACACTAGGCCCGTAATGAAGAGAAAGCACAGTCCATGCTTTATCGGTTTCGAGAGGCACAAGCGGCAGAGCTTGGCCTTGGGACACGCGGAGACCGTCGACCGCGAATGGCAAGCGCATGCAAAAGTTTGCGCGAATGTGAACGATGGAGAGGAGAAATTCTGAGGGAAATTAGCCGAAAGGTGTCGAAAATTCAGGATGGTGCGGTATCTCTTCCATTTACCCAGTACGGCATACTCAACACCGTTTTGTAGCCGGCCTTACCGATTATGAAGTCCGCGATTTAAATGACGAGATCAACAAAATTCTGCGAGAAAAACGGCATTGGGAGAATCAGATAGTGGCTCTTGGTGGCGCTAACTATCGGCGGAATGTGGCCATGCTGGACGATGACGGGAAGGAGGTACCCGGGACGAAGGGTTACAAGTAAGAATCACATTCTGGTTACGAAATTTCCTCCAACATGTTCCATTTTTAGGTATTTTGGACGAGCCAAGGAGCTACCAGGTGTTCGAGAACTCTTCCAGAGCCGGAAGAACGAGGAAGAAGAGGAGAACCAGACCTTGGCGTTCTACAAAAAGTTCTTGGGACAAGGACCGGCATATTATGGCGACACGGACGAAGTCGATGGAAAATTACTGGATTTTGAACGGCAAGCGGAAGAGGATGGTGAGTCCTACTGATTCTCATACTTGCTTCAGCCACTCATCGGTCGACCTACAGAATGGGAAGAAGCGTATACAAATCTTCGAGAATCCTTGGACCTTCCGAATGACGATCCTATGCCAAAGTTTCCCAGATCCGACGCTTCGGGCGCCTCAGTTATTCCGCCGCGTTCATCGGCGACGCAAAACGCTAAACGGAAGGTTAATGATGGAGATGCTGATGGGGAAGATTCGGAGATGGAAGATTCAAAGCGTTCAAAAATTGGAGCTAGTGCGCCTCTACCACCGCGCTCAGAGCTGCCGATAGACCAGGCTTATGCGAGCGCTCATGCAGCTGCATCGTATATACCTTTCTTGACTGCTGAAAATCTCCTGCCTCCCAAGATGCCTACTCGAACGGAGATGGACGCAGTGCTTCTCGATCTACGGAAGAAGGTCTTGGTTGAGGAATATTTTGGTGAAGAAAAATGATTGCTGTTACGATTCCGACATTTCCTGCTTATTTATTGATTTCATGGTGAGTATAACTATCGGCATCGTGTTGAATAGTAGTGAATCTGATACAAATACACAGACGTGTAATCTACTGCATGGTCTATCATTAAATTTGATCCACTGCTTTTTCGGCTAACGGAACTGGGGTGCGACCTACGATTTGAGTTCTGGCGGATCTGTTACATATTCTCATTGACAAAACCAAAGATCCCGCAGGATGTAATCTGAATCAGACTCGCCATCGGAATCGATAATTGTAGATGCACATGCCTACAAGACATTACAGCTTTGGATTTTTATGCAGGCTGTCACCATTTACGGCGTCCATTGTCTGGTCACATTCAAAATTATCTCAAGTCCGAACGTGTGAGTCCTTTTGATGCCCGCGTGTACCATGTATTCCGATATCGCGCAGACCACGATCTACAATGGCTGTCTCTGCGTTATTGTGTATCAATATCCATGGATGTGCATGGCCTCGAGACATACCGAACGAAACGGACACCGAGTCCGATTGCTCTGGACTGCATAATGCGCAGCCCCCTGTAGACGGCGACCTATCTCTTGTAAATCTCTATCGCTTCTGACTTGAAGTCGACTTTGATATCCGCGGGAGTATGACTACGACATTTCGCTCGTTATCTTCTGGATGTTAACAAGTGAACACACTTCTCTCAAACCTCGTACCGAACTAAGCACTAGCCCTCGGTTCCGGCGGTATTGGCGATCGGGCACTGAGTTGCATACCATGAATATGCCGCCGTTCTGTCTTCTACTGCATGCCATAGAAACAGCGTCGTGTTCCACAATGAACCCGAGCCAGCCGGACTTGTGGACCATCGAAAGATACGCTAACGAGCTTCTGAAAGAAAGATGGCTAACACTTACGGAACTAACCGCCGGTCTCAATCATGGGCACGTTGAACTGACTTTTTGGATAAGGGTGGTCCGAGGCTTAAAGCATCGTACCATTTCTCAGGGAGTGTCTTCACTGACGGAAAGGGTGGTAAAGTTCTTGTTTCTGCGCTTACTTAGCGAGGTTTCTGTCTTCGACAAGGTTCCCTTTAGCGATGTCTCGAACTAGGGCCTGGCCCACACAGCAGTAGTGGATAACGTTTGTACCATTTCTTCGGTCATTTGAAACTCAGAGTCTGACAGATTCAATCTTCGCGGGGAAAAGCCAACCTTTATCCCAGTTCCGACCCACGAGCGTCCTAGAGCCACAGGAGGGGGTACCGCTAATGACAAATGGTTTTTCTTCCTTTCGTTTTGGATCAACCCAGCTCGATTCGGGTCAGAGTGGGCGTCCGATAATCATAGAATGGCTCGATTCTTTCCTTGTTTCAGTGGTATATAAACTACTTCGATCTTGTGTGCCCTCGTCGTGCCAACTCACACTCTTCATATCTCGTAAAATTGCTTCCCGTTCCTCGACGCGATGAGCAGTGAGACCGCCTCCCTCCTTCATAGCCATGAAAAGCTCCCTACCCATTATGCTCCGCCTGCCAGAGCCAATCAGAATTTTCCCCTAAATAGTGGTCCAGAGAGCTGGCACCCATATTTGGAACTGATTCGTCTCGACAAGGTTGGTCTCTTTTTTATCAGGACTACAGGTCAAAAACTACTTACCTTACTCTTCCAAGCCCACGGGAACGATACTGATGTTCTGGCCGTTTGGTATGCACCAAAACGTCCTCTGTGATGTCGACTGAGACGAGTTCTTTCAGCTTGGGGTTTGACCATGGCGTCATACTCAATGGCGCCAACGATTGCGCTATATTCTTATGCGTACAAGCTCATTGAATGCTTGATCGGAGCGTTTATAATACGTAGTTCAGCTTGCACCGTCAACGACATATTCGATATGAACATGGATGCTGGTGTTGGTTGGTGCATTCTCCCGTGTCTACTACAAAGTATCTCATGATTCTACTTCCAGAGCGAACGAAGAACAGGCCGCTTCCAAGTGGCCGCATCACCGTCCTCGCAGCGACCGTCTTCCTTCTGGTACAATACGCGCTGGGAATTCTATTCTTCTATCTCACGCTTGATGGTCTAGCGTCAGTTACGAGTTTATGCTTTTTTTCTTACTAATTCTAACCTTATTTGTAGTTTCTACGCTGCCCTGTTTCAGCTTCTCCCATTGTAAGAGGACACCATATCTGCAATCATGCTGAACCTTAAATATTTCACGCTCCGTCCAGATTCGCGATATACCCCCTCCTCAAACGGGTAACCTACTGGCCACAAGCATGGCTAGGCTTTGCCATGAACTTCGGATTCGTAACCGCATATGTGTCAACTACGAACACGTTTGATTCTGCCATCCTCTGCTCTGCTCTTGCTGCTTGTTGGTGGTATGTCTCTCTTCACATGTCGCTACGTAATGACGTTGCTCACAGACATCTATAGTTGGACCATGTTATACGGTTAGCCGACCACGTCCGTAACATACATAGTACATTGAATCTCATCGTATTTTACAGACACCATCTATGCATGTCAAGATATCGTCGACGACGTAAAAACTGGAGTGCTTTCCACCGCCATTCTCTTCGGGACCTGGATCAGGCCCATGCTTATCGGCTATGCCACGATCTTTGTCGCTATGCTTTCCGTTGCAGGATGCCTGAATCGGCAGGATTGGGGTTACTTTGTCTTTTCTATTTGTGGGACTGCGACACATCTCATTTGGCAATTCAGCACCGTAGAGCTGGATAAACCAGAGAGCTGCTGGAGTGAGCAACCTCGTTCCCCTCCACGACATACGCTGACATATCTTCTTATAGTAAACTTCAAGCGCAATGGCCAGCTTGGCTGGATTGTTTGGGGTGGCCTCCTGATCGATTATTCAAAAAAATCCGCAACTTTTCTCTTTTCGCGGTAGAAGGTTCAGGTATCGGATACAGCCCATGACTGTCGCGCTACCGGACATGTGCGCCCAGTTCAAAGCAGGATTCCTGCGACGTATGCATCACTTATTTTGAATGTTTACCTTTCCTGAGGACACCAGCTATTAAGCTAAAAGTAATGCGAAGGCTTTAATATATACAGATAGCTTCAACTTCATATCTATCGCAAACCATAGACTATTCGAGCAAGCTCGTCGTTGACATGCATTTGTCTCCAGGAAATCAAACATACAAGCAGGTACTTATTGAGACGCCGCACGAGTCTCTTGCCTTACTGCTGGAGTGTTACACCAGCTGCCACAGACAGCTGAAGCTGAGAAGAGACCTATCATTTTGAGTATGGTATAATAGAGTTGTCTTATTAAAGCACACTAGCATCGCCACATCATGGCAAAAGAATCATCAACGGTAAAACCGCATACGATCTCACAGTTGAAGTGGGACATGGCGAAATAGCGACATACCTGGTATGGACGACAGCTGCTGAATCGTCAACTTGTTATAGTCGATGTTGACATTATAGTAGGAATACCGAGCATGTTGCCTTCCGAAAGGGAAGGAAAGGGATGGTCAGCTTCAAAGATGAAATAACAAGCAGGAGCATGATCGATAGGCTCTCATTCTATCTCTAGGCTGCCGCGGCTACTATCGGAGAATGCATCGACGCGTCTGTCAGTGATGTATTTGGGGCCGAATGTACCGATAGGTCACATCCCGCTCTCGTTTTGTACCCTCACCATTGAAAACTTCATTCTGTACACTGTTGTTTACAAGGTTTGGGAGGAAGGCGGAAGTTGGTCTGGCTTGGATAGAAGAAACGGCGTGTCGGTTGACTTTGTGGAAGTTCCAGAACCGGCAAGGATTGATTCCAGACTGACGGACGAACAAATTATTCAGTCCTTAGGTCCTTTACTGATCGGTTCCCCTAAGCGGTGAGGACCCGTGTAGGCTGCCCGGCTTGCTAATCCCGCGATATCCCTTCTCACGAGTCACGGTATTAGAGCAGGTACATGCACCCTAGATTTTGCTTTATACAGAAGGATGTAATATAATCATGACGTCGGGGTATCGTCTCGTGGAAGATAAATGCCGATGTCATGCTCTTGGGCTGCCTGGTCAGTCTCGCGAATGATGGTTTTCAGTGTTTCATATACTTCCGTCATGAGTGGGCGTTGAGTAGGAATCTCCTGACTCATTTACTTGAATAAAATGATGAGAAGAAGGGCCGTACTGGCGGCTTTCGTTTTGATGGTCTACAAAGGTCAAGGTCAGGAAGCAACTTGGAATATCATAGAAATTTTTCAAAACTTGGTCTGTATCTCTTAACACTAGAAGCTATCGTGCTGTTAGGTTACATGGGTAATTTCTTTTTTTTTTTTAGCAGAACGTGTCTTACCATGCGATGTAGCTGGAAAGTTATGTTCAAACAAGCCAGACATCGGTCAACAACAAAGGATCACCTACCTCCACTTCATCATCCCACAGCTTAGGTTCGACCATATGCTAAGGGACGTTGAGTGGTAGAAAGTCCATTACCTGACAAATTATTCATACCTTCTTCGAAAATTGAAGGAGATGCTCTCCAAGGCACCTTTGAAAGACGCCACCAAGGGACCACACGTCAGCTCGGAATGGGCAATATGGCTCCGCATTTCCCATTTCGGGCAGGACACGTCGTGTAAAATATTCCTTTTTGCCGTTCCAGCGTGCATTTGGAAGCCCGGTTATTGTCCGTTCGGATGGCTTGGAATCCTCGGAGAAGACTGCAGCGTGCTCAAAATCGTTCATATAATAGCGGACTGGAAAATTGGAATCTGAGAGGAGCTGCTTGCTCCCAAAAGCGGAAGTCTTTGGGGAATTGTTGGCCCCAGCAAAGTTAACAAGGATGTTGTCATAAGAGACGTCCTAAAATATTCATGCTGGTACTCATGCGAAGATAGAAACAAGATCATAGTACGAACCAGATGGGCAACAAGTCTCTCATGGCAGAAAGCCAAGCCCTATATAGATGTTATGAGTGTTCGTCGTATAACAGGATGCTTTATGACACCTCAGAAACCTGAAGAACGAAATCAAGAATCTCTCCCAGGTCATAGAACTACGAAAGCCTGTAGGCCGACCACATCTTAGGAAATACAACGAATGTGAGTCCTTCGTGCTTGAGTTCCTGAAAGACGGGAAGGGCATGGCTTCTTCCTCGAAATGAGTCTTGCTGAACGGAATCAGTCTATGTAAAGATACGACGGAATTTCGGCACACCTCTAATCCGTAGAATCTTGTCGGTTGACCCGGATAGTCAGAAAGATATGTATAGTCACGAAGACGAGGATTACCGTTTGGTGCTGAAAGCTCACACTCATTAACGGGAATCCACAAATCAAGACCGCGTTCATGAAAGAATTGAATGAGAAAAGGAAGTTTTCATATATCGTAATAGGGAACGTCGTCATCAGTAATTACAAACTTCTTTCTCCATTCTCCAAGGGTACGGGGAAGGTCCGTCGGAGGGGCTAGAGGCTCGGGGGGGGGGGGACAAAAGGAACACCTCTGGCAGGAAGATCCCATACCTGGTTGACAGGTGCAGCGCGATAGACACGCCAATACCGGAAAAGTGAGCACAAAGATGAGCAACCGCGCAAGGCGAGATTACCTAAAGCCGCTGTAGAATAGAGCCTGAACATGCTAGTATTGCTGACGCGTTGTCAACTCAGAACCAACTATGCTTGCACGTGGTATTGATCGTCGGCGTGCCGACTAAATGCCGAAACTCTAACGGCTCGATCTCTGGTCGACTTCAATCGGAATGATGGAGTCAATTTACGACATCGCTCAAGGCTTGCACGTTCCACAGATAAAAGTCTTGGCAAAACAGCCACATTCTTGCCTAAATATCTCTCAATTTTCGCCTTCACATTTTATTCACGTTTGCACTGACAGTGACATGGTTCGATCTTGCAACGATCGCGAAAACTTATCTCCACCAAGTACGAGAGCAATCATGGAAGTCTTACGCTCTCGTAATTTCCTGCATCTCGTTAATTCAATCAGGCAGTCTGTCACGTAGCCGACTATTTTTAGAAGCGAAATTCATTATGTCCGCACGATAAAAATGGTATAAAAGACACAACAAGTCGAGGAAAGATTCTCAACTCGCAGCTTCACAATAATGTTCGCTCGCATCTCAGCCTTCTCTCTCGCTATTCTAGCTCTGCCTCTCCTCGTGGCTAGCAGTGCCGTCCCGAAGCAAGAGACCAACACGAACGTTACCGGCGGGATGTGCAACACCGGTTCAGCCCAGTGCTGCAAGTCCGTTCAGGACGTGAGCTTTTCTCTATCCTCGACACTGAAGGATCTATACTCACAATAGTATATCATAGCCCAAATCCGAGGCCGCCCAGAATGCACTTGGTCTTGTGGGAGTTCCTATTGGTGATATCACCGCCAATGTGTAAGTTCTACTTTTGTTTCGTGGAAATTTTATTAAATTGCCTCAACAGTGGTCTCACCTGCGACCCCATCACGGTGATTGGTCTCGGCACCACCTCTTGCTCTAACCAACCGGTGTGCTGCGAGAACAACAGCTTCGTGAGTGCTAACGTCTTCGGAGAATGGGGATGTAGACTGACCTTCCACTTCGAAGAACGGCGTTGTTGCTCTGGGCTGCACTCCCATCAATGTGGCAGCCTAAATATGGACTACATGATTTGTTTTTGAGTTGTTTCTAATTAACATTGATATTTTGGTGATTTCATGAGATTCTGGCTCGATGGTATCGAGAGAATATATTTCGTAAGACTGCTTCGACATACAGATATGTGTAAACAACGGATATCTCCAAATAGAGGAAATGCTAGCTAAGTCCTGCGCTTTTCACAAGGGTGACAAATCCCCAACGCTATGACCATTAATGAACAAAGACCATAGCCAAAAGAGAATGCAAATATCAAAAGATTTGTATCCGTAATGCCTGCCTTATCAGATTGGGCATCTCATCCAAAACATGAGCTGAATCATCAATGACCCAGTCAAGAAATGCAATGAATACAACCTCTTTGCCCACCTGTCCAAGTGCATTACTGGTGTCCAGTTGCACACCTAACCTATCTATTATGAATTGATCCAGCCCCTGAAATACTAGTGATGAAACCTCCTCCAACAGAGAGGACTTCATTGTAATAGAACCTCCTACAGCTTTGTATACATCCCCACCAAAATGAGTCTGACATTTCTGTATGATGGCAGAGAGACTGAAGATGTACTCCAGCATGAAAGGACAAGTCTTGCACAGGGAAGGGTCTTTTGCCAGTTGGAAGATGGATAAGGCATGGTCATAGTGAGAGAGAAAGAGTTCCTCAAAAAGCAGGATCTTCATGAGAGCCACATAGAGCTCAGCATTGACTAGATCAGACTTCAATGGTGCCTACACTATAGCCTGAGTTTGGATGACCAATAAATGTCACATTAGATTTTGAAAGAGATGGAACAGGAGACAGAGGCCAACCTAGCTAATATAGTCTGACACTTGCAGACAGGAGAAATCTTTGACCAAATGCTGTAATTGTTTAGAGAGTAATCATCTCAATGATATTTATACTGCTGTTACATATGAGGATATGCAATGTATCTGCCTCCTTACTATAGCCTCAAATGTTCAGAGCTCCTCACTTCATTCTAGCTTGAAGCTTGCTGAAAGTGCACAAAGATTCAGACCAGCAATTATGACTTGCTTATAAAGATAATCTGATATTACTCTGTGGTGATACACTGAATTTGATAAATGTGGAATGAGAGGAAATCATCTCTGTTTCTGTTCAGGATTATGATCCTTTTATTGAGATGTTTAAATGATCGCTTCTTTCTATCATATAGATATTTGATAGCAACCAAAAATACGGCTGACTAGCTCAGTTGGTTAGAGCGTCGTGCTAATAACGCGAAGGTCTTGGGTTCGATCCCCACGTTGGCCAGGTGGCATCCCCTGTATGTCTGATTCTCTTTTTACCAGCTTAAACTGTGGTATCTCATACAGAAACGGGACGGGAAGGCATCAGTAAGCTTTTATATGTATTTAAAGTCGAGATGGGAATGTCAATGTCTTGGGAAAAAGGAACGTCAGTCGGTCGGACAGTTCTTATTTCAACCTCGCTCTCTCGAGTGTCCCGAGGTGGCGGTCGGAAAGCTACGTGTCAGGACTGGACGTGAACCGGTGATTTCATCTAGTTCCAACCAATTTCTTCCTCTTACCACCATCTCTATCAAACACGCATCGAGAGTCCCCGACGAGATGTAGCCAGGCTCGATGAAGAGGACTTTTGTGTAAGCCTTGCGCTGAGATGTCAGTGTCCGAGCATTTATCCCCTCCAACAACAAACGAAAAATGCCATTCATACATCCACACAAGAAGCATGCCCATATCCCCATCTACGACAACGCTCTCTACTCCTCAGAAGCAAACGGATAACCCGTATACCCCTCAGCAACCTCTCCGCGTAAATAAAACTTGGACCTATCATACGGCGTAAACGGTATATTCTTCTTCAACCTCACCGGAAGATCAGGCTAAAAAAACACACATCAGACCTTTCCCATCCCCCAAACAAACGAAAAAACAAAAAAAACCTACATTTGAAATAAAGTACCTCCCAAACGCCACAAGTTCCCCCTTCCCATCCGCAACCTCCATCGCCCCCTCCCTCGTATACCCCCCAGCCGACACCAACGGCCTCGGCGCCCACAACTCCCTTATAAAATCATTCGACTCACCCTTTCGCGCATCCCTCGTCCAGTTCCCCGACACCCTCGGCTCCACAACATGCACGTACGCCAAATCCGGATGGCGCTGCCCGATCTTCGTCACGAGGTACGAAAACGTCGGGATAGGGTCGTCCATGCGCATGTCCTGGAAGTTCGACCATGGGCTCAGCCGGATGGACGTACGATGGGCTCCGACGGCGCTGACGACGGCGTCGATGACTTCGAGTGCGAACCGCGCGCGGTTCTCGATGCTCCCTCCGTAGGCGTCCGTGCGCTTGTTGGATACATCCTGGAGGAACTGGTCGATGAGGTACCCGTTCGCACCGTGGATCTCGACGCCATCGAAACCAGCTTTGAACACGGCGTTGGCGGCTGCTTGTGCGTAGAGTTTGGGGTACTCGTGGATCTCGTCGAGAGTCAGCGGGCGGGGAGTCTCGGAGGAGTCGGAGAGTTTGATAGCGGAGGGAGCGACGAGTTCGAGGGAAGGGTCCTCGTCTTTGAGGTGGGAATAGTCGGCGGCTCGTCCCAAAGCCCACAGTTGGCAGAAAATGAAGCTGCCTTTGGCGTGGACGGCATCGGTTACCTGGTTGATTGGCGGTGAGATAAGGTTTGGAGAACGGCGGTGCTACGTACTTCCTTCCACGCGTCTAGCTGCTCCTGCGTCCATAGGCCCGGGACGTACTTGTATCCCCCAGCCTTTTGTGCGATAAAGGTTGCCTCCGTGATCAGAAGGGTGCCCGGATCGCTGCCCCTCTGCGAGTAGTACTCCTTCATAATAGATGCATACGGGACATGGCCTTTCTCCGATGACTTGTATCGCGTCAACGGTGCGAGGACGATGCGGTGGTTTAGAGGGAGATCGCCGATTTTGATGGGCTGAAAGAGCTTTGAGTCTGCCATTGTCGATAGAAGGAAATAACACAACGGCTTTTATAGCTTTGGATTCGCTGAATAAGAGCGGTAACTGAATGCTTATTGATCCATTCGAATCACCATCAGCCGGACATTGGTTTGCCTGTTCCGATACAAGGACAGGCTGAATAAGAGATGATGGTAAGCGACAGGGGAACGCGGCGTTAAGGATAACGATAAAGGCCAGTCAGCAAAGTCAACTAGTGTGGCCATCCCAATTGACTGGAGATGCAGACTGACTTCATGGCCTGTGAGAGACCGCCCAATCCCGGGATTTTTAGGTATGCAGCAACCGGAAGAGAGATGACCCAGTCCGTTGATTGTAGACTTGCGGAAGGTAATCGGGGACTGGCGTGCAATGTACTAGTACGCTAAATAGGCGGGTGCCTGTGGTACCAGAATACAAGGTTGAATCAGGCCCGGGTGTAACAGGCCGCAACCATACTCACAAATAGGGCCTTGGACGCAACCAACCGGCAATCGTTCGTCGCCGGACAGAAGAGACACGAGCGAGCTTGATAATGGTATCTTGAGCTAGACGCAGTCAAAAGAGTAGAGAGATACGAACGATTATGTCCGTCCTCAGGTATGTGCCCCAGGGACTCGTTGAAATCAGTGTCGATATATGCCTTGAAGGACACTACACTACGATCCAGAAACTTGCATGCTATCTTTCAATTCGATGACGATATTCCCCAGCGCCGAACCTGGGTCAATCCCTGCTTGCACTGTCTTGTCGATGGTGTCACGCCGCCATTGTACCAGACACTGGATACAGATACATTCCAGGGAGAGGAGAAATGTTATGACGCCTTTCCGATATTCGACTTGACGCTCGCTCTCAGCTGCTGTAAATCGAGGCTAGCACGAAAGGAAGTGGTAATGGTGAAAAAAGAATGTCGATGACGTAAGATGCATTTTCTTTCTTTTCTTGATTTACATAACCGTCTTGAGCAATGGATGCCTGTGGAGAGTCATATATTTATATCGATGAATACCTATGGACGCCCACGCTAATGACTGCGAGATATCTACACGACCCTGTATGCCTCGTCACCGTCCATTCTAATCCCGTCCCGATAATTGGTTCTAATATCAGATGACACTCAGTGCAAAGTCCAAACGAGGACTACAGACAGTATACCTTCTTCAGTGTCCTGGCCTGCTGCGAAGGGTGTCGAAAGCACAAAGGATTCGAACGTAATAAAGAGTAAGGTGAAAGTTACTGGCCACCTGGCGAGCTCGCTTTGCCCGGGACAAAGACAATAGCCGTCACTATCTCTCGCAAGCACCAAATCCTGGCTGTATGCGTCTTGTGGCGCCCTTCCAAGCATGCAGTACCATTTCGACCAGCTGGCAGGCTATTGGTGATGTAACACAAGGTACCTGTATTGTGAACGTCAACACAGGCTGCTGGTAGCAGTACAAGGAATCGACAAGAGGATACCTTATTTCTTCGTGCCACGAAAACCCATCACGTCAGATGATACGACCACATCTCGTCCGCCAACGGATACGTACCACCCGCTTTCTCCTCACTCCACGCCTCCCTGCCACCAGCCCGATTCTCGCGGATCTCATCCACCCGGTCTCTCGGAACCCAATTATCAGGATCACACCGGATCTGTGCTATAAAATAGCCTTTACACTCAGTATAGTACCTCAGCGCTGCAAACTCCTCCCGATCTCGTTCCCGATCCGCCTCAGTGAGCCGCACAGGGCAGTCGATAGGGAACTTCGAATCCTCCATGATATCAGGCTACATGTCACATAACCTATAGACCAGCCGACGCAGGAGTTGCGGACTGTCAGCATAACGGCGCAGAGCCACGCAGACGAAGCTTTTGCAGCAAGACCTTCGACATTATTCGCTGCCGCTTAGCGAGTCTCCGCTTGAGGTCCTCTTACTCCTTCAGTTCTACAGGAAAGTCCGAAGTCCGGGAACGTGAAAGGATCGTGGGGCGAAGCGATGCGTTTTCCCTCATAAAGAACAGCCTGAGGCAGCCTAGTGCTCAGAAGGTAAGGAAGGGAAAAAGCGCCTTGCCAGTCGATGTACTGGACAACGTTAGCCGCTCCAGAGGGCTTGACGATTACGTTTGACCGTGAGAGATCAGGATCAATGAGATAAGGGGCTGTTAGCCCACGCTCGAGCGGAATGATGTGAGGCGTCATCGATATACACTGCTGCAATAGCCGACGCAGTTCAGGGAGGTCGAAGGGCCTCGAACCGCTTAGAAGAGAGCTAGGAGACGGGGAAGAAGACGCTGCGCTGGCCGCATGAGACTCGGCCTTCTGAAGCACTAGACCGCAAGTGGCTTGAATAAAAGACACCATAGCAGGCCCTGCAATATAATATTAGTCTTCAGACTATAAGACTTGCAGGGACCCACGATCTCCGTCTGCAGACCCATTGTACCAATACTGCTTTTCAACGACAGGTCCGATCTTATATTTTTCGGCGGGCTCCTTGTTGTCCCTTTCCCTCAAGTAAAGCTGCCTGCTCTGCAGCTCCGGACTAACATCCTCCTTGAAAAACAAACTACCAATCTGCGAAAAAGGCCGCTGGTGAAGATCTAGATCGAGGAAGACCATTTCCTTATCACGGTGCCGGTGTCTTCATAAAAGTATTGAACCAGAGGTCCTCTAGGGCAACACCATTTATACGTTCCATCAGGATGAAATCTGAGCCGACGGCGGGTCGAACTTCAGGTGTGCGGCTCCATGCCAGAACGCGCGGAGTGCGATGTCCGATAACTTCTCGCGACTACGACAAAGGAAGCTCGAACTTGAACTTGAGTATTATGCTTCCACCGACCGCGAAGGTGGTAGGAGAATGGCGGGCTCATTGTACTAGTATCTTTCAAAATCGGAGCATACAGTTTGATATCTGATCAGTCTAGACACTCATCACTGACATTGACTATTGGATATACCTTCTAGCTTACCTGAAAAGCTCAGCACTCGGCGCTCCGCCTTTTAGGAGGAATGTATGCGCGCTCGCATCCACACTCTTCATGGCATCGTTGTTTCAATGTCAGAAAGTAATCACGCAGAAAGATTCACGCACACCACAATAAGCTAAGCGACTACTGCTGTCGTGTATATCTACCAGATGGAACGGGATGTCGCCTGCACAAATGCCCAGCACTCTGAATGTGGCAGCGAGAAGCCAGTTCACATACCATGTTGGGAAGTGTCGGGATATGCTCCCGGAGATACGATTGTGCGCCATGCGCCTCTAACTGCTTGCGACGACTAGAGAAGAAGTCAGAACGTGGCTCAATGCGCCCTGAGGGAACAGAGTTGAACTTGATTCCCGTAAAAGTATCACAATAGGATACAAAGTTGGTGAGAAAAGGCGACAGTATTCCGTAGAGATAAGTATGGCTGGCTGGCACCGAGACGCGTTTAGTGACTTGATGTCGGCGATAGCCTATTTCACGGTCACCTGTTCATGTTCAGGTGTTTACGTAAGCGCGATCGTTATCCCGTGGCATCGAACGCGTCTCTTTCCTCTGTCAGTCAGAAAGGAGATCCAGAAAAAGTCACTCAAGAGACCCTTGTGGACAATAGAACGCTTCCTACGCCAAATGGACTTCCTTTGGTGTTCTGGGGCTGGCCGCTCGACTAGAACTTCTTCAATCCCGTCTCCCACTGGTTGGTTCGAATGTCAAACGTTTTTTCGGAATGCTATGTTCATCGGCGTGCTGACCTAATGATAAACAAGGATCTCGCTTTCGAAATCCTGTCCCAAGCCGTGATAGTGTCCTGCGACAATCGTATGGTGTTCAGGTAGGAGAGCGGAAAATTATGTCTGCCGCAGAATTTTCTCAGTATAGTGTCATAAAATTATGCTCTACATCTTCTTTCGAACCAAACGAACCAAAAGTCACACGTAGTATGAAATGCTGGATCACGACGTTCCTCTCCCGACGCTTTCTGCAGCTCTCCTGCCAATCCCGCTTCCTTCAAATCTTCCCCGATATTACCCGTCGTGATCTTCTCGAACGTTGCTCTTACTGCGTTCGAAAGCGATCCCATTCCCGGTGTTGCTCCGGAGAAATAGAAACTCACAAACGAAATAAGCTACACAAATACCTGCTCTCTCTTCATCAGTTGTAACCGTAAGCCGCACACACTTAGAATTCATTTCGCTATAGCAATCTAGCTCCCGCATGTGCTCTTCAAGATGTTCTCCGATAATAGGATCCATCCCTTTCGATCAAAGCATACCTATGTACACCTCTTCAACCGTAGCCGTAGGTCCCTTGCTCGCTTCCTGTCCAACGCGTTGTCCAAATTCTTCAATCAGAAGCCATCCGTCCGGTTTCAGAACCCGCGTTGCATTCTTCAGTCCAGCTTTGATATGCCCCTTTGGTATCTAATGGAAATTTCAGAAAACAGAACCATGGTGACTGAACAAAATCAAACATACATGGTAGAATACAAATCGAATATGGACGACGTCAAAACTTTCTGCTACGTCTATGGCTGCCAGCGGATTCATGATGTCCAACTCTTCGTAGCTTACATTCGGAGGAAAGGGACTAGGGAAATGAGACGTTCATCGGGTGCTCAGAACAAATGGACGAACCGAGGTGGTAGTGGACTGATGTCCCCAGCCAATACCTGAGCATCAGGGAACATTTCAGCAGCTTGGATAACCCTGACAAAACCGTTGGAATTCGCAGCCAGAAGGTCTGTAGACGTATATGCGTACCATGCACCGGATCCTGCACTAGTAATTTCATGCGAATCAGCTACAGCAATAATGAATAGTATCTCACCCAATGTCGGTAATCCTACGAGGATCTTCGATTTCAGCCAATGATAATCCCCCTCCTAGGAAACACCTCACTCACTCCATTGTGCAATTCATCCAGTCTGTGCGATATCCCTAAGCCTGCCGGTCACGATGATCAAAAAGGAACCGTACCGCTCCCACTCCGACCCAGCGGTGTTATGATCCTGATCATTGAACGTGAGTTCGAGCCAAGGTTTCCCAGGTGATATCTACGTGCCCGCAAGAAATAGTTCTCATTCATGTTGTTGTTCGACGTGACCAGTAAAAGCCTGTCTTTATATGAACCAAGCTGGTGCTCGAATGGGGCTGACGTGACTCCGACTTGAACATCGGCAGATCGTCGTGATAGTGAGGGCTGCGCACCATACCGTCCATAAAGCCATGGGCCCAGATGATCACGGAACTACCGTATGTTGAGTTGGGGAGTCAATGTTTTAGACTGGATAGAGAGTTGTCGAAGGCGGTTGGCGTTCGCTGTTTGAGTAATTGAAGGATAAAGGATCTTCGGGAACGGAAATAGGTCAATGCGAGTTACGTTGGGGGCCCAGTTCTTGGGAGCCTGAAAGTGGGGCGCCCAAGCCAGTTTTGTGGTGTGGACTCAGAGGTCCACGAGGAACATAAGAGGTGGAATTGGAGGGAGCCCAATGAAGGGAGGAATAGATGAAGAGAATACGAACCGGATCAGCCTCACTGCCCCAACGACCGAGCATCTGGATTTCGTAGTCGGAGTAGCTGATGCTCCTCCTCGTCGGAACTTGAAGCTGTGACCGGAATACAATGAAGGGTTCAAGCCTGCAGATGCACGGACCTCGCGAATCTCCGAAAGGAAGATTGAACATCTCATGGGTTTAAGAGGGTAAGAGATGCATCTGAAGGGGTGCCATCCTCGGGAAACTTGACACCAGGCTTGAGGCGCATGACTCGGAGGATCGCTTGCAAGACAGAGGGTGACTGACTGCGTAGGCCTTCAGTCTGTCTCACCATGGTAATGCTGAATTCCCCGAATGACGCGTTCGACGAATGGGGAGTCGGTGGCCGTGAAGGGCAGGCAAAGATCCGTGTGCAGGGATTTGACATGCGCGAGATACTTCTTGATATCCACGGCAAGATTGCATCTTTGGATGCTGGCAGTATTGGTCCGTTTCGGTTGTAATATCATCCCGGTCGTGGACGAAGGCGGACATCCCGATTTGCTGCTAACGTCCATCGTATGCCCAAAATATCGCTGATTTGATCATGTAACTGTTACTTTTTAATTCCTACTCTTCTAGTTAGCCAAGTGACCGTAACCGCGAGGTCGAACGTTCAGTCAATTCCGCAGATACTGCTGCGTGCACGTCAGCCACGCAGGATTTGTCTGAATCCTCCCAACCTTCATCAGCCTCTCCATGTCCTCCGACAATTCGGCTTCTTCGTCTCTTCATTGCAATTGGTGGCGTAATAGAAACATCGATGCGGTTTCCCTTCCACGGTCGTATTTCTTATGCAGTATAGACTCAGGAGCTTCGTGTCGTGTAGAGCCTGGCGGAATCGGTTATGTCGGCGGCTGATATCATCTGCTGGGGTTCGGAGCCGGAGATGAAGGGGTTTTCGTCTGCGACCTAGCCCATAGCTTCAGCGGGTGCCTAGGATTCGTGCGCTGAGGCTGGAGGAGATTCGGTCAGCTATTTTCGAGGAGTGTGTACCTGCATTGGTGATGGTTGATGATGAGAGCAAATAGTATTGCAGCAGGGTCACGGTGGACATATGGGGACAAAGGCGAGTAGGGGGCAGGAATAGTAGGGCTCAGAGATAGGACACAGGCATTCGAATTTAGTATGGGCCTGGGGGGAAAAGCCAAGGTCTATGATGGAGAAATGGCTGCCCTTGCCATTGGGGCAACAAGAGCGGTGAACCATGCGAAGGAAGACAGAGAAGTAAAGCACTTACACTTCTTCGCAGACAACTCATCAGCCATCGATGCCATATTTGACCCTTTACCCAAAACTGGACAAGCATTCTCAATATTGTTCCACCGATGCATATGCCAATTCCTTGACAATGATCTTATGCACACAGTCAAAATCTTGTGGTGCCTAGGCCACAAGGACATCACAGGAAACAAACAAGCAGACTACTTGGCGAAGAAAGGATCAGAGAAAACAATGGAAGCCATGGGCAGAACAAGGGTGAATGCTAGAAGGGAGGCAAAGTCGGCAAGCTAGAAGAGTGGAGGAAGGTATGGGAGACCAGCCCTAAATGGAGATGCTATGTGACAGCAAACAGAATACCACCATCATGGAAGCTGACACCCCACCTCATAGACCTTGCAGTGAAAAGAGAGATATTCGGCCGAGTTCTTCAGTGCAGAACAGGCCATGGATACATAGGCGAGTACTACTCACAATTTGTGCCAAGTAAGGATGTTGACTGCCCTTGTGGAGAGACATTTCAGACACAGGAGCATATCTTGCATGAATGCCCCCTCTATGCCATACATGTCCATTACTCTACTCCACATTACATGCCAAAATACCCGGGGAACTCAGAAGGAAGAGCGGAGGGACCAGAACAGGAGGGAAAGAAGATCCTGAGGTCCTGTACCTCCACCGCATCTTAGTAGACAGCTTACTTGTTGCGGTTAATCAAATGCTGAAAACAAAAAAAAAGGGGGTCATGGTGATGGCATATACATGGCACGTGAACGTAGATATCCCGAGATTAGTAAGGAGGATGGTCGTAGCTCGGCCATCAGTTTCGGCTTCTTCTGACTAATCTCTTCTTCATACCGCCACCATCGAACAGTTTCGAGGAATCCGCCCGCGCACTTTGAGCCAATGTGCCAGATCTGAATGTCATTAAATTCAAGGGTGCCTTTCAGCTAGTACAGTGACAGACAAGGAGACGGCTAGTGTTTGCGGCTTTGTCGTTTGGGTGCGTTTCTACAGTTCTGCTACCCATGCATTTATATGTTAATGACGCGTTTTTTTCCTCAGGAGTCAGAGCAATCATGCATAAATTTTGAAGCTTATGATTCCATCTCCGTTTTGCTGCCCCGTGAATTCTTTCTTTGCGTGTGGGCCGAACAGTTACCTCGAACACATTTAGATGGATAATAATTCGTAGGTCGATGAAAGACTACCTCTGAAGGGGACGTTCCAGTTACGTGTCGACATCGTTGTGGCTCGAAGATATCACAGAGGTGTGCGTGTAACCTTTTCCTGACGAGCACATTTTGACGGGGAGAACAGGATGGCCCTTTCGACCTAATGGCCATGGATGCAGGTGTGATAGGTCATACAGCATCGCCAGCTGGCTTATCCCTAGCTATTCTAGCTAAATCAGCTAATACCGACAAGTCATAAGGAGCACCTTACGGAAAGTAGACTTCGGCAAATGCCAACGGCTTTCAGGCAGTCGCCCTTCATGGTCTCTCCATGCTGTCATCTTTCCTTGCTTTGCATCTCCGGCCATACCTGCACATCGTTACGAAACACATGTCGACAGTGTCGTGCGGGACCGCCGGCATCTTTGACCACGAGGGACAATGGTTATGGAACGATACGCTGCGTACGTTGTCTATTTTCCTATGAATGACTGAAACTGGACGTTGATTACCATAAAGATCGAAGTATTCATCTTGTAAAGTTGAAAGCAGAGTATTGCACCGTCAGCCGTTGGTGCACAACGCTGTCTTCGGTTTGAACGCATCGCTCAAGGTTGTTCACTCTGTTGTTTTCTGACGCATAGACTCTAACATTTTGTATAGGAGCGTATAACACAGTTTTCCTTCTCGAATTTGACAATGGACGTGAGGCCATTGCACGTATTCCCTGCCCAGTGATGGGTAATGTGCACCTGTCCACAACCAGCGAAGTAGCCACAGTAGAATACGTCCTATTCACGCCAATTGGTGGGAAGTGTGGCTAGACATTAGACATTTGTTCAAGCTAGTACAACCACGTTGAGCACCGTATCCTCCCTCTTTGATGTCGTCACGTCTTCACAGCTCATTTGGACTCTAGCCATCATGAACGCTGGCCCATGGCCCCTCCTTTTGATCCTCAATGTCCAAGAACGTCCTGGTTACCGGCGCATTCACATTATTCGTATCCTCTTAGAGAATTGAAGTCCTCATCGAAAGAAAAGAAATGCTGATGAGACTTTCAAGCCCGACAGCCGGTTGTTGTAACCTACGTGCAAAGGTAAGTTTGACGGTCTTCCGATGACAATACTTGCTAATGTCGATATAGCTCTACGCGCCACGAAGCTCTTGAGTCGATACCGCATAAGGAATACGACCGTGGAAGGGAAACCGCATCGATGTTTCTATTACGCCACCAATTGCAATGAAGAGACGAAGAAGCCGAATTGTCGGAGGACATGGAGAGGCTGATGAAGGTTGGGAGGATTCAGACAAATCCTGCGTGGCTGACGTGCACGCAGCAGTATCTGCGGAATTGACTGAACGTTCGACCTCGCGGTTACGGTCACTTGGCTAACTAGAAGAGTAGGAATTAAAAAGTAACAGTTACATGATCAAATCAGCGATATTTTGGGCATACGATGGACGTTAGCAGCAAATCGGGATGTCCGCCTTCGTCCACGACCGGGATGATATTACAACCGAAACGGACCAATACTGCCAGCATCCAAAGATGCAATCTTGCCGTGGATATCAAGAAGTATCTCGCGCATGTCAAATCCCTGCACACGGATCTTTGCCTGCCCTTCACGGCCACCGACTCCCCATTCGTCGAACGCGTCATTCGGGGAATTCAGCATTACCATGGTGAGACAGACTGAAGGCCTACGCAGTCAGTCACCCTCTGTATTGCAAGCGATCCTCCGAGTCATGCACCTCAAGCCTGGTGTCAAGTTTCCCGAGGATGGCACCCTTTCAGATGCATCTCTTACCCTCTTAAATCCATGAGATGTTCAATCTTCCTTTCGGAGGGAGATTCGCGATGTCCGTGCATCTGCAGGCTTGAACCCCTTCAAGTTCCAGCAAGGAGGAGCATCGCTACTCCAACTACGAAATCCAGATGCTCGGTCGTTGGGGCAGTATGGCTAATCCGGTTCGTATTCTCTTCATCTCTTCCTCCTCTCATTGGGCTCCCTCCAATTCCACCTCTTATATTCCTCCTGGACCTCCGAGTCTACATCACAAAACTGGCTTGGGTGCTCAGCCTAAAACATTGACTCCCAAACTCAACATACGGTAGTTCCGTGATCATCTGGGCCCATGGCTTTATGGACGGTATGGTGCGCAGCCCTCACTATCACGACGATCTGCCGATGTTCAAGTCGGAGTCACGTCAGCCCCATTCGAGCACCAGCTTGGTTCATATAAAGACAGGCTTTTACTGGTCACGTCGAACAACAACATGAATGAGAACTATTTCTTGCGGGCACGTAGATATCACCTGGGAAACCTTGGCTCGAACTCACGTTCAATGATCAGGATCATAACACCGCTGGGTCGGAGTGGGAGCGGTACGGTTCCCTTTTCATCATCATGACCGGCGAGCTTAGGGATATCGCACAGACTGGATGAATTGCACAATGGAGTGAGTGAGGTGTTTCCTAGGAGGGGGATTATCATTGGCTGAAATCGAAGATCCTCGTAGGATTATCGACATTGGGTGAGATGCTATTCATTATCACTGTAGCTGATTCTCATGAAATTACTAGTGCAGGATCCGGTGCATGGTACGCATATACGTCTACAGACCTTCTGGCTGCGAATTCCAACGGTTATGTCAGGGTTATCCAAGCTGCTGAAATGTTCTCCGATGCTCAGGTATTGACTGCGGACATCAGTCCACTACCACCTCGGTTCGTCCATTTGTTCTGAGCACCCGATGAACGTCTCATTTCCCTAGTCCCTTTCCTCCGAATGTAAGCTACGAAGAGTTGGACATCATGAATCCGCTGGCAGCCATAGACGTAGCAGAAAGTTTTGACGTCGTCCATATTCGATTTGTATTCTACCATGTATGTTTGATTTTGTTCAGTCACCATGGTTCTGTTTTCTGAAATTTCCATTAGATACCAAAGGGGCATATCAAAGCTGGACTGAAGAATGCAACGCGGGTTCTGAAACCGGACGGATGGCTTCTGATTGAAGAATTTGGACAACGCGTTGGACAGGAAGCGAGCAAGGGACCTACGGCTACGGTTGAAGAGGTGTACATAGGTATGCTTCGATCGAAAGGGATGGATCCTATTATCGGAGAACATCTTGAAGAGCACATGCGGGAGCTAGATTGCTATAGCGAAATGAATTCTAAGTGTGTGCGGCTTACGGTTACAACTGATGAAGAGAGAGCAGGTATTTGTGTAGCTTATTTCGTTTGTGAGTTTCTATTTCTCCGGAGCAACACCGGGAATGGGATCGCTTTCGAACGCAGTAAGAGCTACGTTCGAGAAGATCACGACGGGTAATATCGGGGAAGATTTGAAGGAAGCGGGATTGGCAGGAGAGCTGCAGAAGACGTCGGGAAAGGAACGTCGTGATCCAGCATTTCATAGTACGTGTGAATTTTGGTTCGTTTGGTCGCGAAAGAAGATGTAGAGCATAATTTTATGACACTATACTGAGAAAATTCTGCGGCAGACATAGTTTTCCGCTCTCCTACCTGAACACCATACGATTGTCGCAGGACACTATCAGGACTTGGGACAGTATTTCGAAAGCGAGGTCGTTGTTTATCGTTAGGTCATCACGCCGATGAACATAGCATTCCGAAAAAAGGTTCGACGTTCGAACCCACGAAGGAGGTGCAGCAATTCCACAAATCTTCTGCTTTGACTGTTCTTTTCAACCTGGACGAGCTTCGATTGGTAGCAAAATAAAGAAGAGATTCGGCTTGGATTTGATGTTGACGGCCTTTATGGGAAAGCAGTAGATGAGACGATGTTCGAGGAGGATGGAGTGTATACGGCAGTATATTCCCGATGTGGTCACCGTAATCCAAGTGGTTCTGCCAGTGGGAGCCAGGATTGAAGAAGTTCTAGTGGAGCGGCCAGCCCCAAAACACCAAAGGAAGTCCATTTGATGTGGGAAGCGTTCTATTGTCCACAGGGGTCTCTTGAGGGACTTTTTCTGGATCTCCTTTCTGACTGACAGAGGAAAGAGACGCGTTCGCTGCCACGTGCGGCCAAATACTTATCCTACTCTTCCAGGGCGAGAGCATAACCTTTGCGATGCAGTTTCTGGAGAACAACCTAGTACGAATTTTATAAAGGAGAAATGGAGCTTATTGCGCACCGTTCAACAGCAGGCAGTGTATTTGATGCTTGTCCAGTGGATAACGGTCGCCCTTACATAAATACCTCAACACGAACAGGTGACTGTGAAATAGGATATTGCTGACGTAAGACGCGTTTCGTTTTTCTCGTCCTACCACCAAAACTGGCGGTGCCATGCGCCATATCTCTACGGAATGCTGTCGACATTTTCTCACCTTTTCCCGTGCATTGTGGTACTTCGATGGGAGCCAGCTCTGTTCCTTCTGGGCGAGCTGAGTGACATTCTTAGCATGGCGCACCCTTGTATCTTTGGGAGCATATCCAGACATTCTACGTCATGGTATGTGAACCAGCCTTTCGTTTCTACATTCAGAGTGCTGGAAATTTGTACAGGCAATATCCTGTTCCATCTGCAGATAGACGTAGACAACGGCAGTAGTCGCTCAGGTTTTTGTGGAAGAACGTCTGGTGAAAAAACTGCATGTATGAAGGCTTTTGTGTGCTTACTTTCTGACATTGAAACCAGTATAACAGCTTTGACGATGCCATGAAGAGTGTGGATGCGAATGCGCATATATGCTCCCTCTCAAAACGCTGAGCGCCGAGCGCTGAGCTTTTCAGGTAAGCTAGAAGGTATATCCAGTAATCAATGTCACTGAGCGTCTAAACTGATCAGACATAGGGCCATATGCTCCGATTTTATAAGATACAATGAGGCCATCCTCTTACCGCCACCGCTTTCGGCGGAATTTCAACATTCAAGTTGAAGTTCGACCTTCATATGTCGTGGTCGCTATTCATGCAAAGGGATTTAATGATAGGTGTGGTTGTACGTTTGTTCAAGCCAGTACGACCACGTTGGGTGCCGTATCCTCCCTCTTTGGTGTCCTCACGTCTTTTACAGCTCATTTGGACTCTTGCTGTAATGAACGCTGACTCTCGGTCATTATCTCCGATCCTGAATGTTCTCGTTACCAGCACATTCACATTATTCGTATCTTCTTGGGGAATTGCAGTCCCTAGCGGAGGAAAAAATGCCGATGAGACTTTCAAACCCAGGAACTGTTTGTTGTAACCTACGTACAAAGGTAAGTTTGACGGTCCTCCAATGACAGTACTTGCTGAGGTCGATATAGGAAGGTGCGAGAACGCATACAATAATATGATGGGATACCGAACAGAAGAGATTCCAGAGGCTGTGAAAGTGCCATTGGAGTACTGGCCAGCACACCAAGCCCGAGCTTAAGTGTATGTGAGTTCCTCGTCAACGAAATAGTTTTGATTATCACTCAGTAGCAGCGCTACATTCTCATTTTGTGGTCGTTGATGCACTCCTCGTAACCTCGTCAAAGGCTGGTAGGCACCTGAACCCTGTCAAGAACCATGTGTTCGAGTCTCTGAGCGTCAGCGGATTCACAAGATGATTGCGGAACGGACGAGACTATCATCATACGTGGTGCGTCCGCCGTGGTATACCAAGGGCTAATTATCATGACTTTCAATCAGTCCTAACTTCATTCTTGATATCCCGTAGGTCTCTTTTGCGAAGTTTTATGGCGCCCTTACTAGCCACTCCTCATGAGCTCACTACAGTTCCCAGGAATAGCATCATCTGTGATCTCGGCCGAATAGTGACACTGAATCTTCGGCCTTTTCAACTTTTTGGTCCTCGGCTGGACCTGGTGTCCATTGGTATCATGGTGTTGTCACTATATTGTAGGTTCTAGAGGATGTGCGGCCACTTTAAAAACCTTTTACTGCAGAGTAAAATGGACGGCCACCATATGCTATCGGCCTTATGGTCTAGTAGTATGATTCCTCGTTTGGGTTTACCTGGTTGCTCTCATCGATCGAGGAGGTCCTGGGTTCAACTCCCAGTGAGGCCCTCATTTTGGCTTGACCGGACACTTCGCTATGATATAGTGAAGAGCCCAGAGTTTTCTGGAAGTTTGCTACGATTCATCGACCCAACCAGATTTCGTATATGGTCCATGAAAATGTAACACAGTTATGATCATCTAGCTGCTACTGGTTTGGGCATACAGTGGATGCTGGTAGGAGATAGCGCGGCATCTGACTCCCTGGTCCTCATTAGGTGAGCAGGATTTTAACGAAGCCTCAAATCAACGTCGTCATGGGAAGAACGAAGATATACATCATTGAACAATCGGGATGGCCCGACCCCGTTAACTACTGTGGGGCTATTTGTCATTTGTGCTGAATGGGAATGACGGTGGCTTCGGACATCTTGGTGAATGCGCCTTCTCCCATGCGATTTGCCGCTCTCAGACTCGAACACCATCCATTTGTCACTGAGTCACAGGAAGCTCTCAGGGCTTGGCTATCTTGTACTAGACCGTCACGGTAACGAACATGCTGGACAGTGCCTGCTGTTCGCATATCTGTTTGCTGGGAACAAGAACATATATCATACAATACATTAGGTATCTGGTTAGTGAAGGATCTGTTCATATGAAGGACAGAGGTCATTGCTCGGCACCCGACTTGAGTCCTCAGAGTACTCATCGGCTTGGCGTAAATGATATCAATTGTAGTGCTACGCAATTCTGATTCTAAGCTAAACTAGAACTAAACGAGAATAAAAACATAAAATTCAGTGCGAAGGCACGTAGAGCAACCTAGGAATCGAAAACTCAAAGCGTGAACTTGGCAATCAAACCATGCGTCTAACAAGTTGCCAACTTTTTATCTCATGGCCGAAAACAAGGTGTTACCATCTGAACAGTGCCTTCCGGAGCAGAAAGCCCTATGCATTCTAGTGGTAACCTATACGAGTGGTTCGAGGTCGTATCAACGACGCTCCAATTCCTATTTTGACGTCTTGTGCCTGCCCGCATGTCTCCGCGATAGTTCAAATTGCAGAAGAAAGGGTCAATGGATATGCACAGAGGATACTAAGACGTATATTATAACCTTCCGACGACAGAAAGAACATAAACTATGAAGGCGGGTAATTAAAGCAAATTAAGGGAATCGTGGAAGTACACTCACGCTCGGTACTAGGATTAAAAGCGAGCAAGCTCGAGACGTTGTTAGTATGTACGGACTCGCGGGCGCTGAAATAGAACTCACAAGAGCATCGATTTCGGCCGTGAAAGGTACTGCACATTTTGTGAGGGGGTTATTGTACCAAATTCAAAGAACAAGATCGTATCAAAATGAGGTTCAAAACTGCAGCAATAGTCGTTACAGCTCCTCGATTGATAGCTATGATAATCAAAGAGTCTAAGGTGGAGTCGGTCCTAGAATCCCCCGGGGACTTAGAGCTACAGACCGCCAAAGCATCAGCGAGCCTTACGATTTAATTCCCGTATGATTCCTCCTTAGCCGGCCGCACAGGGCGAGGGTAACAAAAGTGTCGCACAGAGCGGCGGCGCTGGTCTCCAAAATGGTGATGACCTTTATTTGAAGTATCAGGGCTAATACCGCAGCGAAAAGGCAGACAAACAATGGGGCCATACCTTGTTGATGTTATCGTTGATTACACTGGAAGAGGCACTCTGTGCCCTAACGGCGCAGAGTCAGGCATTGCTGCAGACACGATGTTCTGGACAGAGTATATACGTCGTGATAACCTGTGCTACATAATTTCATCGCTTGAGGACGTATCCGCGAGGGAGAAAGATGGAGGGCTTACCAATTCCGGCGCCTGTTCGACAAAGAATTAGCTAGGAAATGATAGGATGGGATAAGAAGTACCAATATTGATAAGAGCCGGGACCGCTTTTGAAACGGCAAATTCGGAGCCAATTCAGCGTGTAAGTTATCATATACATGCGATTAGAGATGTAATAATCCAAATATTATGGTGGCTGACTGTGGGCGGTGTCAATGCTATATGGGACTATATAGATTCGGAAAGACTTGCTATTCTATATTTGTGACATGTAGAAGCTATAGTGAGATAAATGCATTAAGCTTGTAAGAGAAAGGAGAAACCACATAAATGTACCTTTGAGCAATGAAAGAAACGAGATACTACAATTGTGGATGTATCTAGGCCCGAAATCCTTGAGGAAACCAAAGAACCTACGAAGGCCAACATCTCAACCTATAGCTGATTGTCAGAGTTTTCGTGGAGAATTACAAGATACCCACAGGTACGGATCTAAACAGATATTAGCTACGTAAGTGGAGGAATATACCAGCAAAAAACACATACTGAGGAAGCTCGCTAAGGAGCTCTGGATGGGAAAAGTCGGTAATGAAGACTTTGTACACACATTCACATAGTCCAGCTATGTGCATCGTGGCGAAGATTCTATAGACGATATAGTATCTGAAAATGGGACCGAGCTCAGTCGTGCTTCTGAAGCCGAGTGGATGCATCAAGGGCTACTAGTTTGGTCGGCCTATACTTGATGGTTGCGAATTAATCACAGATTGTCGATACTGGAGGCTAGCGAGAAGCATCGCATTGGTACATTGGTGCAAAGGTTGCACACGAGCGCTTGTTCCAAGTGATTCCAATCCAAGTCGGTTCGACCGGCATTGGTGACTCGGAACACGTGCCGCCGGGCTACTAAGCGGTCACGCAGCTATCTCTTTCGTTGTCCAGTCCGACCTGCCGTTGAACATTTGAATGTTTGAACAGTGATTATATCACTTCGTCTGTAATATTATTATGGCCACGTTTTTAATCCGTGCTGGATATTGTGACCCGCTCATCAACATTCCTGTTGAGTCCACTTCTCCTTATGAGCACCTGTATGTAACCTGCTTCCCAGCGAACATGGGACGGACTATGCAACCTAACATACGACCGAGGGCTTTATGACTGCAAGAAGGAGCGAACGAACGTTCTTTTCCTGCTCCGAGGTACGAGATATCACACTTTTCACTGCTCTTCAGTTTTCCGATCTGCGGCGATAAAGGCAAATTACGAGAACCAACCGGCGGGCCTTCAAGTTCAACGAACGAAAGAGACTGATTGTGGTGCAAAAACAGATCGCGTAGGCTGCTTTGTAGCTCTACCTGAGGTGCAAGACTAATATTTTGTTAGTCCTTAGGTGGGAGACATTACAGCACAGCTAATATCGTACAATGCTCTGGCCTATGCAAGAGTAAACTGACTATTTTCCTGGCACGCATGACTCCCGCTCAATCGCACTTCCTTAGATATTTGGCCAATGGTTATGACAACATCGGAGCCCTTCGTCCGGCAACGATTACTAAACGATGGACCGCATGGCGATTTTTACTCGATAAGAAACAGAAATTTTCACTTCACAACAATGGTATAAAAGCCACTGTGTCTAGTGGTCGATTTATCGATAATGACCGGTTCCAAACTCTTCCAGCCCATCAAAGTCGGCAACCTTACGCTGAACCACCGTATTGTCCTTGCCCCGCTGACGCGAAACAAGGCATCGGAGAAAGGCCATGTCCCATATGTTTCTTTGGTGAAAGAGTACTACTCGCAGAGAGGTAGTGATCCCGGCACGCTACTGATTACGGAAGGAACCTTCATTGCCCATAAAGCTGGAGTTCTAAAATACGCGCCTGGTCTGTGGACACAAGAACAGTTAGACGCGTGGAAAGAGGTGCGCAGGATTCTTTTCTCTCAGAGCCCATCTCACTGTCAAGCAGGTGACTGACGCCGTCCATGCCAAAGGCAGTTTCATCTTTTGCCAGCTCTGGGCTCTAGGACGTGCGGCAGACTGCTCCGCTCTCAAAGAAGAAGAGCCTTCTCTTGATCTCGTCGGTCCTTCCCCCACCAAAATCACCAACTCTTCCTCAACCCCGCGTGCACTCACCATCGACGAGATCCACGAGTACCACCGGCTCTATGCATGCGCAGCCTCCGATGCTGTGAACAAAGCTGGCTTTGACGGTGTCGAAATCCACGGTGCGAATGGATACCTCGTCGACCAGTTTCTCCAGGACTTGTCCAACCAGCGCACGGACGAATATGGGGGTAGCATCGAAAATCGTGCTCGATTCGGGTTAGAGGTCATCGATGCTGTTGTCAAGGCCGTCGGGGCAGAGCGCACGGCTATTAGGGTGAGCCCGTGGTCGACATTCCTGGGCATGCGCATGGAGGATCCCGTCCCCACTTTCTCGTACTACGTCTCCCAGATCAAGCAGCGACACCCAGACCTCGCATATATCCATCTTGTGGAGCCCAGGGTTTCGGGCATTACAACCAGGAGTCTCGAGGAAATGGATGCGTGCGAGTCTAATGACTTTATACGCCACATATGGGCACCGAGGCCTCTCATCTCAGCGGGAGCATATACTAGAGAGAGCGCGATGGAGACTGCTGATATCAAAGGAGATATTATCGCGTTTGGGAGATATTTCATTTCGAACGTGAGTGTTCTTCGTTGATATTTGATGTAGTCGTTGAAACTAAGGGCTTTCACCAGCCGGACATCACTATAAGACTAAAGAAGAACTTACCCCTTACGCCGTATAACCGTTCAACGTTCTACTTGACTGGGGAAGTTGCCACAGGATATATAGACTATCCCTTTTACTCCACTGAATAGACAGATACAGCAATAGATGGAACAGACCGTACTAGCCTACCCAAGCGACTCAAAGCGATGAAAGGCATGCATTGAATTTGCGGAGAAACTACATACTCTCGCGTCGAAACACATTGCTCCAAGCTTTACGTTCTGCAGGTCCACCCAATTCGGTACCCTCCATGACCCATGCTGGAAATTCTTAAAAACCTGAGGGAAAGATTGTAATAGTAATGGAAGGAATTACACTCGGCATTCCTGACATACCTAACCGAACAAGTTATGGCACTATCTGACTCACTTTCTCCCTCACGGCGGCAGCGATTTCAGCTGACCAACAGTTAAATTCCACTTCATAACGCTCGGGAAATCTGCATACATTTTCAGTCGTGAGAGCTCGGTTCGAAGACAGAAAAACGTACGTTACAAAGCCGGATTTATAACTCGGGTCAAAACCTGTACCTCCCAACAGTTTGCTCCGGAACGACACATTAAAGGATGCGTCAGGCATACTGCCACTGATCCTGCCACCTGCGCTTTTGGCTTTGGACGACGGTACGAGTCATTCAGATATGACATCGACGTTTTTCCTCATGTTTGGTCGAGAGTGGGTCCTAAAGCCAAAAGATCCACGCGGTGGTGCAATGGACTTATTCGGATGGATTAGTTTGGTGGGGATCTCGATCGCGCCCTTGTCACATGACTGTGGATTCACTCTTCGTTGATCTCCTCAGTCACACTCTCTCCTTTATCCGAGAGCTGAGGAGCTTATGCATTGATGTCGTGTGCGACTGCCGGCGCCTTTGACCATGAGGGACAATGACAATGGTTACGGAACGATACGCTCCGTTCGTCTTCTATTTTCTATCATTAAATCTGTATGCTGATTACCTTAAAGAACAAAACATTTGGTGTGTGAATTTCAAGGCAGATGCTCTTCAAAATATTGCGTCATCGGCCGTTGGTGCACAGCGCTGCGTTCGGTTTGAACGCATGGCTCAAGGTCGTTTACTCTGGCTGGTTCAATACTTTTGATCAAGACATCGGCGCCGTGATAAAGGAAATGATATTCCTCGATCTAGATCTTCACAAGCAGCCTTTTTCGCAGATTGGTAGTTTGTTCTTCAAGGAGGATGTCAGTCCGGGTCTGCAGAGCAGGCCTCTCTATTTGAACGAGAAGGACAATGAGGAGCCTGCTGCCGAGAGATATAGGATCTGACCTGTCGCTGAAAAGCAATATTAGTTCAATAATGAGCCTGTAGAGGGAGATCGCGGTCCTTGTAAGTGGGTTAAGTTAATAATGCACCAATATCATATTGCAGGGCCTAATATGGCGTCTTTCCTTCAAGCCACTTGCTGATTAGCACTTTGACGGGCTGAATCTCAGGCGTCCAGCGCAGCATCTTCGTCCCTGTCTCCTAGCTCTCCCCTAAGCAGGTCGAAGCCCTCCGACCTCCCCAAACTACGCCAGCTATTGCAGCACTGTATATCAATGACACCTCATATCATTCCTTTTGAACGTAGGGTTATGGCTCCATATCTCATTCACTCTGACCTCTCACGGTCCAACGTGATCGTCACGCCCTCTGGGGCAGCCAACGTCGTCTCATACATCGACTAGCAAGGTGCCTATGCTGTTCTCTTCATTCAGAGCATCAGCCTGCCTGAGGCTGTTCTTTATGAAGGACAACTCATCCCTATGCCTGATGATCCTTTCACTTTACCGGTGATCCCTCTGGACCTGCCACCAGAACTCAAGGAACAGGCTGATCTCGAGCTGAGATTCGCCAAGCGAGAGCGAGTAATGTCGAATATCTTGCAGGAAAAGCTTCCCCTGCATTTTTATGCTGCATGTCTACCATATGATGGCTTCCTCTTCACTTCCTGATGTGGCTCCGTGTTGTTATGCTGACAGCCCGCAAATGTTATGTCGGTTGGTCTATAGGTTATGTGATATGTGGCCTGATATCATAGTAAATTCAGATTCCCCTATCAAGTGTCCTGTGCAGCTCACTGAGGTGGATCGGGAACGAGATCTGGAGGAGCTCGCAGCACTGAGGTACTATACTGAGTGTAAAGTGCATTTTATAGCTCAAATCCAGTGTGATCCTGATGGTTGGGTTTCGGGGGAGCTCCTAGATGAGGTCCGCGAGGATTGGGTTAAGGGACGGGAGGCATGGAACGAGGGGAAAGCAGATGGTCCGTATCCGCTAGAGGATGGGATGTAGTCATACCGTCTGCTGACATGATGTTCTTATCATTCTATTAAATAAAGACGTGGTATTGTCATGAACTAAGAGACCTGTAGGTCTCAAGTCCCCAAATTGAATTTCAATAATATTGTTGGGGATTGGCTCCCCAAGGCTGCCACATTTGTGGATTTCTTTTGCTGTTCCCTCAGAAACCTTTCAAGGGCAGCCAGTACTTGGTTTTGAAGCTATAAACAAAAAGTTTGGGAATCAGCAATGAAAAGTTCAGAAGAAAAGAAAAAGAAACTTGTGGTTTGCTTTGCCCTTCCCCTTTTCCTCTCTTGAAAATTGAGGGGGTGAATGATCCCACTGTAGGTGCTTGAGCACAGGCACATATGCTTCATCCTCAGCTAGAAAAGAAACACTATCAGTAGTGAAATTAAAATGTCAGAAGAAAAACTTACCTTGCATATGTTTGTTGCTTGGACCAGCAACAAACAGAGGTGTTGGTAAATGAGCCTCAGTAACCATGTGGCCATCATATATGGAAGACCTTAGTCTCATACCAAATATGAGGCTATCTATGAGGAAAATCAATAATGAAATTGTAATCAAAATAAAAAGTTTGCATACCATTTTCACCCTCACAGAGGAGGGCAGTGCATCTGAACTTTCTGCTTCAAAAGCAATTGGTGTAATCAAACTTCTGGCAGAGGGAACCACAATTAGAACAGCAGGCCTATGAGCCTCAGTAGACAACCAAGGTGTCTGTGCTGAAGGCTTTGACCTAAGGCCAAAGCCAGGACCATCTGTTAAAAAGATATCAGGAAGGATTAATACTAGAACTAAAAAGTTTGCTTGCCATTAATAATTTGTTTTGGCACTCTAGGAGCTGAAACAGAGGCAACAACATTTTGAGAAGGAGGAACCAGGGTAGAAACCTCAGTTTCCAAAGACAAGGCTGACTCTAGTTCAAGAAGTTACAATGCCTATCATATTGACTCTCTCAAGGGTGCTAAAAACTTTGATGTATAGAAAATTAAAATGATTGACACCTTGACAGACCTCACACTTAATGACTACATTGCCAAAGATATGATGAAGCTGATCAACACTAGAAAAGGAAGCATGGAAGAAGAAGGATTAGAAGATGCTTTCAACTATACAGTTGCATGTCATTGATAGTGTTTTTGTATACATCTCAGATGCAAAGACAGCAAAGAATGTGTGGACATTCCTTTGCAACATGTATGAAGCTAAAGATCCCATAGACATCATGATAGCACACCAGAAATTCTTCTATGCTCAATATCCTGAAGACAGCAATATTGAGGACTATCTGGACTATGTGCTCATACCAGGACAAGCTTGTCAATATCAGGCAGCAGATTGAGGACACAGACTTTTCAATAACTCTGCTGACCTCTCTCCAACTCCTGGAACTCCTTTATATCCTTTATCTCTGATGACTCTCTCAAGGATTCATCTAAGATCATATTCTGAATACTTGCTGAGGACTATTGGTGACAAGACTCTACAAACTTCATGTCATCCCTCCTGTTCTCAAAATGACTCATGCACATATTACATGCTCATGGAATGATTGGCACCATGCTCTTAGATATCTTCATCATCACAGCATCCAAATGCTTAAAACTAAAAACATGGTAAAGAGCATGAATGTTAACATGTCCTCAAAGCCTAGCTAGTGCACTGCCTGTATTCAAAGCAAATCTCATGTTAATCCATTCCTGAAAAGCACTGAACAGACCTATAAGGAGATTGGTGATATAATTTATACTGATCTCTGGTATCCAGCTTGTACATGCAGCATTTGAGGTGAGCATCACTTTATCTCATTTATAGATGAAGCCACTTTGCACAGCTGACTAAACTTCCTGAAGACCAAGTGATCTAGTGATATGCTGGATACATGTCCAGCCCTATAATTTATAAATTCTGCATAACACACTAGAATATGCTAGTAACTGAGGACTATTAGCCAGTAGAGGACTATGGCTGAGACTCCAAGCTGATAGCCATGCTATGCTAAGAAGGCTAAGGATCAATGTGGACTTAGCCAAAACAACTTTGCACTAGATTAATAACCTTAAAGTCAAAATTGGACTTAGAGGAATAACACCATCATAGTAAAATGCCAAGTCAATTTGGACTTAGAAACAGTACCATGTTTGTGCCAATTCTAAATACTATCAGGACTGGTATACCATAGTCTAGTTCAGGAGTTTATTACTATGACTAGCAGTGAAGTACATCCAGCTAGCACCCAAACCAGAAGTAAAAGCAAAGCAGAACTCATTAGCCCATGGCTAGCACACCAGGTCTGATGCAAAATACATGCAGTGAGGATTCCTCAGGCATGAATGATCAGAGGAGCACATAGTTCAGGGGATGAGCCACAACTGGAGAGTTTGGCTGCCTTGCATCACTACAATTGATCAATCATGATCAACAGTGAGTCCAGAAGTAACAAGTGAAACCACAGGATGATCAATTATATAGTAGATATTCATGGGCTATAGAAGTGGAGCACCAGAGGCATCCTGGATTGCTTGAAAAGAATATAGGAGGAATGCTCAGGTGGGGTAACAATCTAATTTTGGGGCTAGCCAAGGGAAATAAGTAACCAAACTAAATTATTTATAGATTCTGTATCAGTTAGTTATGTATAATAGTAGGACAAGGGGGAATCATGTGGCAGATGATCCATCTCTGTGATTTAAGCATTCTAGCTCTCAGTAGTTAGTCTCTGTGTCAGTGGTTTTGTGTGTAACCTTGACTTGGATAGCATTTGTTACTAAGTCATCTGTATTGAATAAGAGTTGAAGTCTTTATTGGACTTTGGGTTTTGGCATAATTTGGGTTCTGACTTAATAATAGTTTCAGTATCTAAGTATCAGTTCTCTGGTTTCAAGGACTGCTAGCTAGCCACAGATGCAGCTAGCTGAGTTTCAGTGCTTGAGAGACTTAGTATTGGGTTTCAGCATTTATTGGGTTTTGGAGTTTTCTAAGTTAAGCTGAGCATCATAGCTCTGCAGTTTAAGTCTCAATTCACATACTGTGTCTTATTTCTACCCCCTTTGCAAGTATTGCATCTTAGAACACAAGCTAGCCTTGAATAAACCATCTTTATATCTTTATATCTGAGTCTGCAGAGTGCTTCTACTGTACTCAAACCACCTGAACTCATCCATATTTGTGATTGTGCATTAAGTGGTTAGGTGTAGGTGTTTGGGAGTTCATTTCTCATTCACCTCTCTTAGCTGCTAAAGAGGTTTTGCATGCATACAAGATGAAAGCAGTCACTGCAGAGTGCTATCCACTGATCACACCCACACCAATACACACACAATACTCTTAGTTTGTGGAGGGATTATAATGTGATAAAGTAGCTGTAGCAAGTACAATCATCTTCTCAAATGATTCCACTACATGTGAATAGCAGTAGTGAGTGTACAACTGTCTCAGATTTCTCTAAGTCTCAAGGCTTTTTGTTTTATTAAAACAAGAGGTGGCAATGAATGTTGCTGGACCTCAAGGCAAAGGGTACTGTAGCTTAATACACTACATCAAAACACTCCTGCAATCCAGAGACACAAAACACAATAAAACATCATTTGACAGACTCAAAGGATTTGAACCTCTGCCAACCTGTGGAAATAATCAAAAAGTGCACACTAATCAAGCCAAAGGGTTTTCTCCTCTGCCACCTGTAGTGCTGTGCATCACAAATACCTCAAACTCAAGATAGTGCCTTTCAGACACTATTCTCTTGTTCTCAGACTAGAGCACAATTCAAAACCTCTTATCAATTTGAATTCAAGTCTCTTGCTAGCTTCTGTGCCTTACTCAGTTCTCAAATCTCTCTCTATGATATCAATAATAGATCTATTCTCTCATCCAAAGTAACAAACACAAGCCCAAAGCTATAGTGCAAGGCTTTCTGTGCCTAATACACTGCAACTGTGGGGGGTCAGAAACTTGTCTACTACTCTTACAATGTGGTACTTAAATAGT